AAACAAACAAACAAACAAACTTTATTTGAAATGATAAGGTCACGCAAATAAAATTTATTCCTTTATGTGGTAAAAGTTTTGTACTTTAACTGAACACTTTATTAGAACGCTACCTAACATTCACGTGGACTACTAGTGATCGTGACAAGATATCCAAAGTTATCTTATTCGATTATATTCCATTCCCCACTATTGGAAAAACACAAACACATTTAGCTTCCCAGTGGCACAGCGGTATGTCTGTGGTCTTACAACGCTAGAAACCGGGTTTCGATACCCGTGGTGGGCAGAACACAGATAGCCCAATGTGTAGCTTTGTGCTTAATTACAAACAAACGTTCAAGTATATTTGTTGTTATCCCCCTCCCCCGTTTTTCTCTGTAAATCATCAAACCAAAATTTAGAAAATCGTGACTCTTCAGCCAATCATTGTCCTCAATCCGTGCTTTAAGATACATTGAACTGATTATTTCCTATTTGCAATCATTGTCCTCAATCCGTGCTTTAAGATACATTGAACTGATTATTTACTATTTGCAATCATTGTTCTCAATCCGTGCTTGAAGATACATTGAACTGATTATTTCCTATTTGCAATCATTGTCCTCAATCCGTGCTTTAAGATACATTGAACTGATTATTTCCTATTTGCAATCATTGTCCTCAATCCGTGCTTTAAGATACATTGAACTGATTATTTCCTATTTGCAATCATTGTCCTCAATCCGTGCTTTAAGATACATTGAACTGATTATTTCCTATCTGTATCCCCCTTACTGTAAAATCTGTAACTTGTAATAAGATAATTGCTATTATTCAGCAAAACTCACAGAAAAAATTATAGTTTCAACAATACGTTTCCAAAAGTATTAGTAAATGTTTGGTGCATGTTTGTTACTCTACAATTCATTATACTCGAAGGTAAATAATGAACATGAAAGAAAGACTGAAAACAATTCATTTATTATCGTACGATCATCTTAATACAATCGCTTTTCGGAAACTGAACATAATGGGAACGTACTATTAAATGATGCAACAACCATAACATCTGTTCAGTTAAAATTACCAACATTCAATAAACAGACAACAATATATAATACTGCCTCCACCACTTTAACTGTTAACTACTATAATCATTTTTTTAATGACGTTAAGACACATTTAAGATATGAATGGGTTATGTGATTAAATAATCGAATTCAAAAGATCACCAGTTTTTCAAATTATAGATATTTGATGTACACTAATAACTGAAGAACGTCGAATATGACGAAATTAGAAATCTCCTCAAAGGCACTTTACAAATTGAAAACATTTGAGGATAATTGAAAATCATCACGCACTTGCGAGACTATACGTCAAATCTGTGAAATTACAAACAACTTTTTCCTATAGGGTTATTATTTTTTTACAGGATTTAAAAAAAAACAGTTGTTGTTGTTTTGTAATTGCAATGACTTTGACTTTGATTTGCGGTTCTGATCTTGTTATTATTATGAACTTCATTTTTAGTGAACAAAATGTCATGGTAAACTGGTTGTTCTGAAATAACTGACCTAACAACAAAGGAAGTAAACTATGAAAAGCGTGTTTGAAAGTAAAAAGATAATATTCGTACCGAATTACGTACAGTCAATTATCTTTGTTTAAGAATCTTCGTGACAAAGTTCGAAAACCGAGACAACATTTGGGTGTTTATTTTGTAAATGTATCATACGACATCAACCTTTTTTCTTCACTCTTGAACTCGGGTTAACTTCTTGGAGTCGATGTCCAAGTCTGCGTAATAGTTCTCACTAGGAAGAAAAAGCATTTGTGTTTAATATGGAAATAAAATTTAAGATAACATTATATGAAACATTAGTGAAGCTATTTTTAAATAATAAAACAAGAAAGTATATAATGCACCAACTGTTTGATGATAATATTATAGATTTCTTTTCACCAAAGGTAAAATTGAAAATATAATCTGTGATGTAGAGGCCTAATATATTCTTTGTTTCGCCGATCCTCTGCTGTAGGATGCAGTTTCAGCTAAAAGAAGTTCAAAACTCCATATATACACACCACTATTTCATGTCCAGAAAAAGAGGCAATTGTGAAAAACCAAAAGGTTATCTAGATTTTGCAATAAGACGTGTTAAAATGAAGAAGTAGACTTCTGTTAAAACGAGACAAGAAACTGCTGGTATCTGGTCTCAAAAACCACAAGCTTCTCAAGACAAAAAATAATTATAAAGAGGAAAAACAGACAGAAAGCGACAATATATATTCATACGCTTTTGGTAGTTCAGCTAAATGGTCAAAGGTCCACTCAAATGTGTCAGCTGAAATGGGTCCAGTACAGCTGCAGACATATGACTTTCCCAAACAACAAACAAGGCAAAATAATTAACGAATTACTAACATGATTATATTAAGTAGAGAAGAATCACGAAGACAATTAACTTAATATTCGCTAGCACGTGATTCAGTATTTTGTTCTTCCTGTAAGACCAACACAGCCGACCTTTGACTTCGTCAAACAAAACAAAGACAGCACTTTTAACTGAAAATGAGCTAAACGATGCATGCATAACATCTGCTCCTCTTTAACAAGAGCAGGGCATTGGCATGTTGAACATGCTTAAGTACTGTCACGAAAAAACACTTTAAATGAGTAACTCACTTCTGTCCAACAAGAGCCAGACTTCTGTGTTGACTACTACTACAGATGTCAAGTATTACACCATTGTACTCGGTATACTCTGTACATAAGTTACACGAAACAGATGACAATGATCGTATTAGGTTTGTCACAGTTATTGAGGCGTTTGCAACTTGAAATGGTTAGAAGAGTATCAACAAGTATTTAATTGGATTTTTGCCGTTGAAAGACACGAGTAGTTCCGCTATAACTGAGGTTATTCTGAATCAACTTAAAAAAATAACAATGGCCCTGGAAGGCACACGAGACCAGAGATATGACAATGGATTTAACATGAAAATGAAAAACAATGGTCTTCAAAAAATTAGAGGTTTAAATCTAATATATTTCTATGTCACGCAAGTTGCACTCTCTGAACTTCGTGTTAAACTATACAGCCAACTGTTGCACTGAAGCAGTGACGTTCTTTAAACTGATTTAGAGCATATATGTATACATTTCTTCTTCAAGTTATCGTTGGGAAGTATTGCTACATTATGTTTCCTGTTAACTCTAAAGCCACTGAATGGCACAGGAAGTATTGCTACATTATGTTTCCTGTTAACTCTAAAGCCACTGAATGGCACAGGAAGTATTGCTACATTATGTTTCCTGTTAACTCTAAAGCCACTGAATGGCATAGGAAGTGTTGCTACATTATGTTTCCTGTTAACTCTAAAGCCACTGAATGGCACAGGAAATATTGCTACATTATGTTTCCTGTTAACTCTAAAGCCATTGAATGGCACAGGAAGTATTGCTACATTATGTTTCTGTTAACTCTAAAGCCACTGAATGGCACTAGGAAGTATTGCTACATTATGTTTCCTGTTAACTCTAAAGCCACTGAATGGCACATGCGTGGAAAGTAGAATTGGCTGCTGGTCAAGTACTCTGATATCAACTGGGGAAAATCTACGACATTTAAGATAAGATTTTACACAAGATAACATTTTTGAAGACGCTTTTACGAAGTTAAAACTATCGCTGCAACTTAAAGATGTTAAATTTAAAATTTGTGGCTTTCAGAATGACACAACATGTCATACGAGACCAACCTCGCCTGTACGGTACTATAAAACAGTGTGACCTTAATAAGCTCTACAGCAATTCCACAACCACAAAACCAAAACATTCCCATCATCAAACAGGAATGATGCATTTCAAAAGCATTAATGGATGCAAGGGAACATGCAGAAGAAATTGAGATCAACTGAATCTGGGAATGTTTTGTAAGAGCAACACAACAGACATGCTCACGAAAAAGAAGACGCAAGTTCCATACGAAACTTCTGATGAAATGACCTTTGACCCACGGTAATAATTTAAGGTCAAGCTCTTTAACAAAATTGTCAACACAGGTATTGAATTCGTAGAAGAAAGGAAGATTCAGCAAGTACTGTTGTCAACACAGGTATTGAATTCGTACAAGAAAGGAAGATTCAGCAAATACTGTTGTCAACACATGTATTGAATTCGTAGAAGAAAGGAAGATTCATCAACTACTGTTGTCGATACAAGTATTGAATTCGTAGGAGAAAGGAAGATTCATCAACTACTGTTGTCGATACAAGTATTGCATTCGTAGAAGAAAGGAAGATTCATCAACTACTGTTGTCGATACAAGTATTGAATTCGTAGAAGAAAGGAAGAGTCATCAACTACTGTTGTCGATACAAGTATTGAATTCGTAGAAGAAAGGAAGATTCATCAACTACTGTTGTCGATACAAGTATTGAATTCGTAGAAGAAAGTAAGATTCAACAACTACTGTTGTCGATACAAGTATTGAATTCGTACAAGAAAGGAAGATTCATTAACTACTGTTGTCGATATAAGTATTGAATTGTAAGCCTTCTCATGGCGAGTGACTAAAATTACTTTGAAAATTCTGTTGACACTGATGAGCAAGACCAGTTTAGCACCGTTATTTACCAACTATTTGTTGCACTGAAAACTATACTGAGTTTAGCCATTGTCGTTGCTAGTGAAGAATGAATTGCAACTTAATTAAAACCTACTTGATGTCAATCATGACACAAACAAGACTTGTTGGATTGGCAATAATTTCCAAAAAAGCACGGGATTACACTAAAATTCACATTTAAACGAGTAGTAGTATGTGATTTCATCTGTCATTTCAAAAGCTGGAACTCGCATGGTAGGCTTTTCCTTTGCACATTTGAAAGTAAACCCGAAGAGAGGACCGGAAGAGTGAAAAATTATCCAAGGAGGCAAAATGGTTAACTTACTTTCATTGAATATCATGAATTTTTATTTCTTTATGTAATAAAGATTAATTATAATACTACTAATACCAATGGGGTACAACACGTCTAGATAGAAATAAATCCATCTACATTAAAGTTGTATGGAATCCCATGGGCCTATGCTGCGAAGGGCTTATTAATGTAAGCAGCTGCCAACTGATTTAAAGGTGTCACTTACAAAGAGGGACCATCAAGGAGGAATGAAATACTGGTTATAACTTTTCGGTCCATGCAAACGCTGTTAACATGTTATAAAATGAAACAGTATAAGTGGCATTTAGCTTATTAGTAGGAGCTTCAATATGAGTTAAGAATAGCATGCTAATACATCCAGCTTGTGTAAATGAGCACCATGTTGCAGGATTTGATGAAAGGGTTGACGTCTATACGCCATTAATCACAGTAGTGCATACAGACGTCAACTATTGTGGCGCTTTGACATTTGAGGTGAAAAACAATGGAATTGTGGAACAATGAATTCCACTAACAATTGTTTGCTTCAAATAGTAACCCATAGGGGTTTGGACTTGGTCCATTGGTAATAGTTAAGGGACACATGAATGCTTTATTGTTGAAATATATTATGTGCAGTGTTATTTTGAAATCGTTCGTGAAATTTTTATTTAAAGAAAAAAATGGCTGTACCTCTTTCAGTGTGATAGTCTCAAAGAAATTTCGCATGGCATGTTCAGCAAAAGTTTAAAACGAATTTCTAAGAAATTGTCACGGCCAGCCTAGCATTCTGACTAGAATCCAACTGATCCACTTTGTTTCGTTTTTAAATATCAACTGATCCACTTTCTTTCGTTTTTAAATATCAACTGATCCACTTTGTTTCGTTTTTATATATCAACTGATCCACTTTGTTTCATTTTTAAATATCAACTGAGATGCTTTGTAAAAAAAGTCGCCGTTTATTCCAACAGATATGTACCAACTGTTGGTGGTTTTAATTACGGAGTCTAAACTGTGATTCCCGAAACACGACAACCCTTCTGAAGATACTTTTATTCAGTGCACCAACTTTACAAACACAAAACACTTGCTAAGATGCTCTAAGTGCTTGATAATTTTGAACAAATGTTAACAAAGAATTCCATTTACTAGAAAATGTAAATATGTTATCCTATTATAGTGTTGGAAGTATTAAAAACTATTTACCAACATTAACTTACAAAAGTCAACGCTCGTCTAGATATTTATAAGATAAATAAATAATTAGTAATTTAAAAATCTGCATATATCGATCGTAAAAAAAGTATGGAAACAAGGCTGGAGATACTGTAGACATCATTAACTCAAACTACAAATCCCTATTTTGGCTCCATGATGTTACCTAGAATGACATTCGGTGGAAACAAAATAGGAATTTGTAGTTTGAGTAAATAATGTCTACAGTATCTCCAGCCTTGTTTGCTTACTTTTTTTTATGATCACTACTTGCAGGTTTTTAAACTCCTAATTTTCTATTTATCTTGTTTGCTGGCTTTCTTATGCTCAACTATGGGCAAAGGATTACTTGATATAGTAGCCTTATACATTGTAATGATAATAAACATAGGTAGTAGCTAGCTGATGAGGTCCATGATGATTTACAGTGACTAGTGGCTATTTGATCGCATTAGTTCGAGATTTCAAAAGTTAAGCTGCAGCTGGAGATTATCTTTGAGATTTGTTTGAGAATATAGTGAGCATTTATAGTTTCTGTGTAACTAAATTTTCTATATACAGTGCACAGCAATGGGCAAATACATGCCTATACTAAGACACAGCCCCTACTAGGCGCGTATAAAAGTTTACCAGTAGAAAAGCAGCCTTTTCAAATAAAAAATATACGTCTAAAACATTGCTTTAAATAAATCTTCGTGTCATTTAAAGTAATTATTATACGGATTTGTGTAATAAGATTTAATATTATGTGTCTATAGTGTATTGAAAGGAACACCAAATGTTCGTAAGAAAGCTAACTTCAGGGGCAATGATAACATCGTTTGTTCTAGAATTAAATTCTTTTTAGCTTATGTAAAATATAGAAGAAACAAATCGACTTTTCAATACCCCTACGACCTTCGCAGTACCTGATTTAGTATTCTATAAAAGGTTTGGGTGCAATAAACCAAACGGGTTTTTTGTTTTTGTTTTTTTTTACGCTGGCAAGATAATAATAAGAAAAAGGAAAATAATAACAAACGGGCCGTTTTGAGTGAATTTTCTTTTCCTTGTACGTCTAACATGCGTGCTTTTTTGTGCATTTTTATATGTGTACAGCTTTAGCAGTTAATAGGGTTTTAAATGTTATTTGAACTGAATCTTTAATACTTAAGGTGCTTTTTGCCCGAACGTTCTATTAGGGTTTTGTGCATTTGCTTGCGATCCCTTTTATGAACCACTATCGTGGTTCATGATAATGAGGTAAGTTTGGTCTAAAACATCCTATCTAGAACAGTACGCTAATATGTCCACATGAAAAACTATCTTTAGCATGTAACCCTCTTCAAGGAATTAATATCCAGTTAAATTCTCTCGAATATGCTCGCCCTTTCAGCAGTGTGGACGTTATAATGTGGTGGTAATCCCACTGTTCGTTGGTAAAGAGTAGCTCAAGAGTTGGCGGTGGGTGGTATTGACTAGCTGCCTTTTCTCAAATATAACACTGCTTAATTATGGACGATTAGCGCAGATAGCCCTCGAGTATTTGTCTGTTTCTTTGAATTTCGCGCGAAGCTACATGAGGGCTATCTGCGTTAGCCATCTTTAATTTAGCAGTGGTAGACTAGAGGGAAGGTAGCTAGTCAACACCACCCACCGCCAACTCACTTACCAACGAATAATGGGATTGACCATTACATTAAAACGTTCCCATAGCTGAAATGGTGAGCATATTCGGCGACGGGGATTCAAACTCGTGACCCTCAGATTGCGAGTCGAACACCTTGACCACCAGGCTTTGACCCTCGAGTAGCTTTGAGCGAAATGCAAAACAAACTAAAGCAATTAAATTTTCTTTATATAAAAAAATAATAAAAGGATCTCGTCTTGTCATTCTGATAACTAGTTTTCTTAACATTATATATTCATAAAAATTCCCTGTGCTGTAAGCACAAATAGCGTATTTTTATATCATTTGTTTTTTATATCTGTATTTTTTTCCACAAAAATACAAACTTTATCGTTACAATTATTATAGTAAGTTAAAGTTCTAAAATTACTCTTGATAATGCCCAAATCCTTATAGTGGTTCTTCTTAGTAGATGTAATACTCTTTATAATATGATTACCAAACAAATAACACTAACCATCCTGGCACGTTTTCCGGATAATCACACTGCAATGAATCAACGTTAAGAACAGTTCCCTTTTCACATCCGTAAGAACGAGCAAATCCATCTACGCAAACGTAAAAATATCTGCAGTCCGTGGGATGAGCGTGGCGAGAATAAACTCCCTGCTGACTGCTGACCTCATATGGGCCTGGGCAAACGAAACCCTCGTCGACTTCTGTAGAAACAAATTTTAGACAACGATTTCTTTCAAAGAACAAAAGGTTTTCATTGTCGTATTTTAATTATACTTATGTGCATTATTTTTTCTATCTATCTGTAAGAATATCACATTTTTAGAAAGTGTAGTTACAAGCTCGAAAGTGATAGATTTTATACATTAAATGAATTAAGCAAAACTAACGGTACATTTTCTAGAGCCCATTGATTATTATGTAAGCCGATATTTGTACTTTTTTATTCGATATAGACTGTAAAAGAATACAATAAGCGTAAATAAATAAAACTCATATAAATACGTTGAAATTCCTACTTTCGCCCATTTTATGACTGTAGTTATTTAAAACATTTTCATAATTAATGTACCAAATTAACACTAGTTCTTACCCAGCTTGTCACATCGTCTGACCTTGTCAGCCCACACACACACCCTTTGTTCTGGATGGTAAGCTAAGCCCGGTGGACATTCGAATCGGGAGGCTACCCCATTCCAACAGGAATAAAATACTCGACAACTGGATTCATCTTCGTAAACGCCATATAAACGAGGACAGTGAGGTGTGCTGATAGGAGGTTCTGAAGATAAAGAAATTGTCGGTTAACTATAGAATCAAGAATTGCTCTGAAATTTTAAATAAAACTGAGAAATTATATCATTATAAACGCCAGGACTTGAATATTTCTAATGAGAAAAACTTGCATCTACGATTGCTAATATGACCATGCAAAATAATAATAATGCAATATAGATGAAACCGCAATACATGGAAAAATGTCTGAAATGCTATTGAAATTAATGGTTTTCCCGACTAACTAAGCCTAACGAAGAGCACTGCCAGAAAAGTAGCTATAAAAGTTTGATAAATTAAGTTTTCGAACTGATGTACAGTTTTTATTAGTTTTAATAACTTTTCGTATGAAAAAAAAATTAAAAATGAAAGGTACAGGAAGATGGTGGTAAAACAGTGTTACCCAAAATAAGGTGGTGTAGGTTGAGAAAACCAGATACATCAAAGAAGTTCTTTGACAGGGTGGTAATGGAGTACAGGCAGATTGAGTAGGATAAAAATGTGAATGAGATATGGAGGAGGTTGTAAAAATAGTATTAGACGTGGCGATCAAAGCTGTGGGAAAGACCATAAGTGAAAATTATATTCAGATGGAGGCATGGTAATGGAAAAAAGAATGTGCAGGTAAGTGTGAAGGAGGAGATAATACTAAAGAAGTAGCAGTGAACCACTTAAAAAGAGGATCTGCAGGTATACATAGTAGCAAAGAAAGAAACAAAAATAGCAGTGGTTGTTGCCAAACAGAAGGCGTAGGCTGAGTTGTATGAGAAGTTGAAGAGAAGAAGAGGGGAAAAATTGTGTGCAGACTGGCCAAAGCCAGGGAAAGGGATATGGGTGGGGTGAAGTTTATTGAGGGCGATAATAACAAATGGGATATATATTAACAAGAGATAGGTAGCATACTTTAAACACCTATTAAATTTAAAGATCAGTGGGAAAAAATAGAGGAAAGTACGAAAATCTAGAGGAACAGTGGAATATGTGACAGTGGAAGAAGTATAGAGAAAGTTGGAAAAAATGAAAGATGTGAAAGCAATAGGCCTGGACGATATACCTATTGAAGTATTTATGAAGCTAGGAAAGTTAGGGAGCCAGATGGCAAGCAGGCTTTTCAATGTTATAATGACAGAAGGAAAGATGCCAGATGCCTGGAGGGAGAGTATACTTGTGCCAATATTCAAAAGGAAGGACGTTGTACAATACCACAGCAAGGACTGAAGCAAAAAGTTGCTGAGTTATACAATAAAGCTTTGGAAGAGGGTTGTGGATAAGAGACTGAAAACAGAGATAGAAATATGGACTGAACAGTTTAGGTTTTATGCTTCGTAGGTCAACAACGGATGTTATATTCGTATTGAGAGGGTTGGTAGAGAAGTTTAGGGAAAGAGAAAAGACTTGTACTTGATATTCATCGACCCGGAAAAAGTTTATGACAGTTTGCCAAGACAGTTGATGTAGTGGTGCTTATGAATTTGAGTTGTATGAGAGGTTGGTCCAGAATATGTATGAAGGAGCGGAGACATTTGTAAGAAAGGTGCTAGAAGACTCAGGGAGGTTTCCAGTGAATGTAGGAGTCCATCAAGGTTCAGTTCAGCATCGAGCTATTTAGTTTTTTAACGGTGCTGGACACGATATCTAGGAACATACAAAAACTAGTGCCATGGTGTGTGTTATTTGCAGGTGATGCTGTTCTTTATGGATAGAATAAAAGTGAATTACAAGTGGAATTGGAGAAGTAGAGAGAGAGTATCTAGAGAGAGACATGGTTTGAAAACATGTAGGACAAAGACATAGTATATAATACCGAAATTCAGTGGAAGTAAAGGATGGTGACAAGGTGCTCTTCAATGGTGAAGAGTTGATTTGGTTTGGTGTTTTTTTTTTGGAAATATCCAGAGTTGTCGAGGATTAAACAATCTTCCTTCGCCCTGCTCGTGAAGTGAGGGAAAAGTGGAGGCAAGGTTCGATAGATGGCGATAATGGTGTATCGACAAAAAAAAACATTAACAAAAAGAGTTTTACAGAGTGGCTGGGATCTATATAGCCAATGCCATTTAATTTTGTTGTGGAACTGGTGAAGAGTTAAAGAAGGTGAAAACATTTAAACACCTTGAATAAACTGTACAGGCAGATGAATGAGGAAGTAAAGAGGTCAAGAAAAAATAAATAAATCATGGATGAAGTGGAGAGAAGTAAGTGGAGTGGTGTGTGACAGACAGATACCAATAAAGATAAAAGCAAAGATTTATAAAGCAGTGATAAGACCAGTTGTGTTGTATGGGGCTGAATGCTGGAGTATGAGAAAGGAAGAGGAGCAGATGATTAACATGGCGGGGATGTGGATGTTGAGGTGGATGACAGATGTTTCAATGAAAGACTGCATCAGGAACAAAACCATGATGTAAAGAGTAAAAGTATCACCAACTATGGAGAAGATGAGAGAATCTCGTCTTAGATGGCTTAGTCATATGAAAGGAAGAAAAGGGGAGTATGTTGGTGGTATAGCAGTGGAAGGAAAAAGGACAAGAAGAAGACCAAAGAAAAGGTGAATGGATGTTGTAAGAGAGGACGTGAGGAAATTCGGTGTGAATGTAGCTGACACAGAATATGAAGGAGTGGAAGGCAAGGACCAGAAAAGCAGACCCCCAGTAACTGGCATGAATACTAAGAAGAAGAAGAAGAAGTTAGGCTTAACTTTTAACGTTTTACAGGAATTTAGATTTAAAACAAAAACAAAACAACTTAGATATCTAGTTAACATATTATTGTATTTTAGCTGAAATAATTTCCTTTACAAATATATGCTTTCAAAAGAGTTGTCATTATCTTTGTAAAATATCTTGAGAAAAAATTTACTTTTAGTAGTTAAAAAAAAAGATCGTACAAACTGCTATGCGATGCAGTTGAAATGGATGTTATTCACTGTATTTAAAATCAGAAATGTATAGAACAATATGTAATATTTTTCTGGTGAGAAATTAATGTATAAAGCAGACGCATTAATCAAGCCATTTACATCATACCAATTTCTGTCCTCTGGCCACAATTGATACTGAAATGATAGGCACAGTTTTCTCGCAGGTTGTCGGAATCATCAAAAACCAAACCATTCCCGCAAAGCTTTAGTGTAGCTGTGCCATTTTCACATGCCCAGTAGCGATCGCAACTCCTACTATGTGGAAAGAATCCAAATAGCTCTGGGCATTTGAACTCCTTGTCTGTCTGAATAGGGACTGGAACCCGGTCTCTCTGTCTCACACGATTATATCTCTGCACAGGCTGGGCTGGTTTAGGAGGGGAGGATGTAGGCTGTGTCGACTGGAAGGGTGGTGATGAAGCCGATTGGTCATTCTCGGGAACTTTGGGCGGTTGAGAGTCAGGTGGTTGTCGTTTTAACGCCTGGTCGTCATAGTAATCGTAATAATAATCGTAATTATAGTCGTCATTATTATTGAAATTTTGAGGATTTGTATTTTGTTGAGCACAAGCTGGATAACAGAAATATGAAAAAGGTATTAAGAAGGCGCTTTAAATTATGTAACTATGAAATATATTAAAATGAGAAATCATTTATTTAACAAAACAATATTCTTATAGCTGTCTTAAACCATGTATAACAGAAGCAGAATTCTTGAAAACCCTAATTTAATCAGGTAATCTGTACTAACATTTATATTTGCGTATCTTCAAAAACCAAGAAAAAAAGCTATAATTTTATATACAATAACCACTGTATAATTTTATATACAATAAACACCGACACTCGCTGTTGTATTCAACTGTGTAAGCCCGGCATGGCCAGGTGGATAAGGCGCTCGACTCGCAATCTGAGGGTCGCGGGTTCGATTCCCCTTCCCACCAAACATGCTCTCCCTTTCAGC